TATCTTCGATGAAGTGGAGAAATATCGACCGTAACTGTTTGTACTCTCGACTAAATTGCGAAGTACTATACACTCTGATATAGCCTCGTTGCAATACTCTCGAAAGAAGAACAAACAGTGAGAAATACTAGGAACAACCCAAGGTCCTAGAATATAGGGCCTTTGGAACAACCGACTAAAATCTGTTATTGCAGTCGTGAAAGTGACACTTGAGAACATCAATATCGGAAACCTTTTACATAAACAAAAATTATAAATCTGTAATGAGAGTTAAAATTTTAGTAGAAATTATTTTTTATAAAAACTAAATATTTCGTTTTTGTAAAAGCTGTCGTGATTTACGGACATCCGACTATTAAATCCAGGACTTGTAGACCTATAAATTCACTGTCGTCCGTCCGTCTGCTGTCTATTCCTAATCTCGACAGCGGAGTTAGAGAGATGAATGCCGAGACTAAATATGGAAAGCTTAGGGACAGGAAGTTCCAATTAATTATATCCGTAATTCCGATAGAAACCGAAAGTCGCGTTATTTCAATTCAAAAATATATCCCTGAACGGAGATAAATACATAACCGGCACGGCTGTATTGCTAACAGGAAAAGTATGATANATTCTCATATTTTTATTTACCTTTAGGTTTTGGAGGTTTTTAATGAACTGGTCAGTGTTTTTAATGCTATTAATTGAGTTTTCAAATATGTTTAGTTTATTTTTAAGGAATTTCTCTAGGTTGTAAAGGATATAAAATTTAATGTCAACTAGTGGGCGGTAGGATTCATTTAATTTATGCGTCTTTACTCTGATGTTGAGCCTGGGTATTCTCCTGTTGTATTCAAGAAGATTGTTAATATCATTAGTAAATCATATCATAAATAGTCAATCATATCATAAATATTTCGTTTTTGTAAAAGCTGTCGCGATTTACGGACATCCGACTATTAAATCCAGGACTTGTAGACCTATAAATTCACTGTCGTCCGTCCGTCTGCTGTCTATCCCTAATCTCGACAACGGAGTTAGAGAGATGAATGCCGAGACTAAATACGGAAAGCTTAGGGACAGAAAGTTCCAATTAATTATATCCGTAATTCCGATAGAAACCGAAAGTCGCGTTATTTCAATTCAAAAATACATCCCTGAACGGAGATAAATACATAACCGGCACGGCTGTATTGCTAACAGGAAAAGTATGATAAATAGGGGCAAAACGCTACTACACTCCACGCAGGCAAGTGCTATAAACGCGATATTTACGAGAACATACTTCCCACGTAGTTTATACAATCTGTTTCCAGAGTGTTAGAAAATTTATCATCACATAAAAGCAATTATTCTAGCAATTTTACAAGATTCTTTTAAGCAAGTCATACGAAGTCTTTCGGACGTTAAGGTTAGCAACTTCGATCACGTCCGGGCCATCACAACCTATCCAACACGGATCAAATATTAATAGTAGACCGGCATTAATGAGAAGTCGTTGACCATCATCTCTTCCGGGAGGAGGTCGACTACTTTTGATCGAATTAACTTCGACTCCTTTCTGCAATAGTTCCTTCTTTTTATCGTACCAGCAGTATGGTGGCGTTCGAATAAGAAAATTACATAATAGGCTCTATAAGGTTACCGGCCAGCAGAAAATATGATTTAACTGGTTTCGACGGTGCCAAGTATAAATATTTGATCCGTTTTTTTCCGAAATTTGATTCGTTGGCAGGTTACCGTTTGATATTCGGCCGTGAATGGTAAAGTTTCTTAGAGTTAACATTAGAAAATATTATATCTGAAAAATTTAAGATATATTTTCAATTCTTCTTGACCATTGAATTTGTGCCATTTCGTACCATCCGAGTATCGCTATAAACGTATCAATTAGGGTTTCTCAAACGGGATCTTGGTTGTATTTTTAACCCGGGTAATCGCGCAAATTTCTTAAAAATTCACTTTTTTCTTATTTAATGTTAAGGTCGAGGAAATTTTGCAAATAGAAAGTACAGTATAATTAACTCATAAACTGTTAGAATATATTTGTATTTATTAAGTTTAAACCTACTTATTAGTTTTTTAAATTTTTACTCGTTATGGCATGTCAAAAATGATCAATAATCAATATCTAGCTTATTTGTGGAAGGACTCTGAAAATATTTACTTGTCAGAACCTGTAATATAATTGTGCTTATGGTGTCTTAATTTTTAACCATGCCCAGTAGCTTCAACAACTGCGTAACGCCAGATTGTGCACATTGGGAAAGGATACAACGAGTATGAAATCTGCAAATATGAAGTTTTTCTTCATAAACCTGATTATTAAAGACAAACGAACTGTCGAATTATTGGGCTATAAGCTTGATGTTACTATTAAAGCAGCCGAGGTAGACAAATCAAGAATACTAGAGAGCAAAAGAAGTACTACAATCTCGAAAACGAACTAGAAACCTTCCAAGCTACAGGTGAAAAAATACATAACATCCGTCTTCTCTTAAGTGCATTTAACACGATTCCACCCACATCAATTGAATCGGAAAGGGCATTCTCGGTAGCAGGACTTTTCTTTAGTAAAATAAGAATCAAATTGAGTGATCGCAGTATTGATCATCTTTGCTTTTTAAAATCTTATTATAAAAATTTACGATGATATTTTGTATTATGTTTTATTTAAAAAATGAAAATTACCGTTTAAGTTAGAAGTTTGATCTAAGTTCATTTTTTTAAATTTTGAACTTAATTCAAAGCATTTTTGGTTGTTGTTGTTGTTGTTGTAGTACGCAATTTCCAGCAAAGTTTAATAAATTTTTTCTATTTGTTAAAATTTCTACGTAATTCAAAGGTAACTTTTAATATACATCTTACACAGCATTATTAACATGATTTTGGAGGTTGCAGAACGCATTAAATTACTTTAAAAAACGAAAAATAGTTATATAATTTGATATCAATATACTTTGTTTATCTTAAAAATAATTAATTCTATCCTGGGATTTCCTGAGATCCCGAGAAACATTTCACTTTCCTCCCCAAATACCGGGACAAGGAAAAGACCGGGAAATGAGAAACCCCAACGGTAGGCTGAACTAACCAAACTCTTTATATGGTTTTCGTTTTAATGTTTGTTACATTATAGTATTTGATTTATATACGTAGTTACAAAGGTTATCTTACGTAGGGTTTATCACACCGTGTGACCAATCTAACATATTTTTAAAATTCTTTACTCCTCTACTGTACAGAATTTAAAGAATTTTTAAAATGTGTTAGATTGGGCACAGGGTGTGATAAGCTCTTACGTAAGAGAACCTTTGTAAATATATATAAAATACTATAATAATAGAAGGATTATTAGTACGAAGTAACCTTAACGTTTTGTTTTTATTTTTTGCCCGGGATCGCCGGGCTTACCTGCTAGTTTATACGTATAGATTATACGCATTTTATATGAATTTTGAAGTACAATACTTCGATTATTATTTCATTCAGTTTTTAGAATTTGTTTTGTTTTGTGAAAAACAAATCGTCTTTGCCAAATCTTGTATCAAATAGGTCTTATGGTAGAAAGTTACGTAATATCAGAAACTTAACTATAGTGTCAAGATTCTCAAGCTGTAGTCCGCGGACTCTTAAAACCGAAAATTGTTATCTTGGATCGTCGAACTGTCAGAAAAAGATTTCTATTTAAAGTTATAAAAGTTAAGCATTAATTTTTTTACAAAAACAGATTATATTATTAAAAACGATCTATTTAAATTCAGAGTTGTTATACTTAGGGGAAGGGAGGGCAAGATGGAAGGGGTGGGCAAGATGGAAACTACTTACCCACCCCGAACCGCGNGCAACTGCAGAGTTGATGTAATTATATTTTATGGCTCTAATATGTTCATTTATCCGGGTTTTTAGTACTCTACTGGTTTCACCTATGTAATAGAATTTAGGATGACAAGTACAGGCAAAGCTGTAGACTAGATTGTTATTAAGTAAAATGTCTGTGTTACTATTACTTTGTTCATTGATTTTTAAGGAATTTTTGATTTTATTGTTTAGTGTGGGAGCTAAAATAATGTTATATGGTGTTAAGATCTTTTGGATGTTTTCAAAAATAGTAGGGATATAAACTAACTTTTTGTAAGTTACCTGTGTTTTTGGTTTGGGTTGACGAGAAGGGGGGTTGTGTAGCCATTGGTAGATGATTCTGTTGGGGTAGTTATTTAATTGAAAAATGCGGTAAATTTGGTCAATTTCGGTGTTTTGGTTAGTAATATTACTAGTACGAGTTTTGATTTTGTTGATATACATCATGAATATGTTCTTTTTAATGTACATGGGTGTGCTGGAGTGGAAATTTATTACTTTATTGACGTTACATGGTTTTATATATTTTTTAAAAGTAATGTGCTTGTTATGTCTGTGTATGGTGATGTCTAAAAAATTGAGATTGTTGTTGTTTTCATTTTCAAATTCGAAAAGGATGTTTTTTTGGATATTGTTGGCCTGATGAAGTATGATATGAGGGTTGGTTAAATGTTTGTTATAAATAACAAAGCAATCGTCGACATAACGGTTGTAGAATATTACACCTTGTAGTTTATGGATGATATTGTCTATGTTGATCATGCAAAGTTCAGCAAGTTTGGGGCCGATGCAAGAGCCCATAAAGATGCCATCAGTTTGCCTAAAGAAACCATTATTACAAATAAAGTAATTGTTGTCTAAAACAAATTCAACGAGCTGGGTTATCCATTTATCACAGTTTAGGCTATTTAAAGTATTTATTATAAACTTTTTTTGGATTGAGGGGTACATGTTTTTGATATCCAGGCTTAACATTCTCATATTTTTATTTAACTTTAGGTTTTGGAGGTTTTTAATGAACTGGTCAGTGTAATAATAATAGGACTGAAGAGGGGCATTAAGCCCGAAATGCATATCCATCCAAGTCAATAAAGCAACCTTTTTCCTCTTAAAGTGTTCCTGTATGATACGTTCTCAACAGAAACATTGTGCTAACCAAACAAATATAAACATTGTTTAACCAAATCTTTAAGATTAACATCAAACAATTACCAAATTACACTGGGCTATATCGACTGAATTGTTTGGCGTTAATCTTCAGGATACTACATCGAAGGGCTGTAGAGTTTAGAAAGCTCATCTACAGTGTTCTAATATAACAAAATACAGCACAATACTTTTCAACTCTTCTCTGTAATCAATGCAAAGAAAATAAACACCGTATTAATAAATATTTTTATCAAAAGAAAAATACCTTTTCATGTACGGATTCTTTAAAATTGAGTTCTTCTTTAAGACTCTGCACTCTATTTTCTAAGTCAACTCGCATCAAGGTTTCTTCTTCCAACTGTGTCTTGGCTGCTGCCAACTGTTTATTCAATTTGTCTCTGTCAGCTTCTGCCTCCTACAAAAGAAAAATTTCACTAAATCATTATTATTTCTTTTTTAACATTTATACAACATATTATATAAACAGAAAAAGAAACTGTAGATTTTAACACAATACAGAATGTAAAATCTTAAACAAATAACATTACGTGAAGGTTTAAAGTGATTTTGACTAAAGGCGGGCGTAGTCAAATGCAGCAATTGATATTATTAGAATCTGAAATCCAGTCATTCACTGAGAACTCAAGCTAGGTATCTGAATACTTCTCAGATGCTAACTTGCACAATCGAGTGCCAAAAATTAGTGCCTAGCTCCACTGTCCAAAATTCTAATCGCATTATGTTAATACAGACAAACTTAATGTGTTACTTTCTCATACCTAAAGCCTCTTTCATTTCTGCATCGAAGAGGTTTCTGGTTTCCAGTAAAATTTAACATAGAAAATTGCCGCATTCCAAAATTGTTTATCTGTTTAGGCAAGTTTCCATTTTAGACAGGTTTTACTGTATTATGCTAAATATATTAATGAACCTGATAATATTTTGATAATAATGATGATAACAAATCTATAGTAGATAAATAAATTTGCTATCTTTTGTTAATATTGGTGATTACAAAAAACTGCTAATTTAGTAACTATAGATATAGAAATGACTCAGAACAAAATTGCTCTCTCCTTCCATACAAACTATTCATCCATTAATTTCACTGATTATGAATGTTTATTTACGACACACTTGTTAAGAAAGTTTCACAAAATAAATCCAATTTAAACTGCTTAAATTGAGGTAAAATCATAGATAATCGTAGAGCTTTATACATTTCTCTTTAGCTGAATTTAAATTCTTGCACTTACTAGTGTTTCAAATGTAAAAAATTGATGTTAACTTGACATATCCACACTATTTACAGTAGGTTGTGTGACTATAACATCAAACTTGCATGATTTCACTGCATGTTAGATGCTACGCCAAAGAACATAAATACAATTTTTCTAGATTCTTTAGTGGTGAGCTTAGGGTGCAAAGTGTTTAATTTTCTAATGTTTCACTTTGAGAAAAGTAGCTCAAGCTGGCATACACAGTATAATATAATGCGATAGAAATGCCATTAGCTGAAATATGACCAACCAGATGTCCGATCGACCAGAGTATCGGTATTCAAGATCATTAAACAAAAGAAATTTGTAGATAAAAATAGTCGCACAAGTTACGAAGCATAGAATTTTGTACATTCTTTCTCCATATGCAATTAAACATGTAAAATTTGGGGAGAGGCAGTTGAAAAACTTAAGCAAAATCCACTATCCAGTCGCAGACAAGGATTTCAGTTTACTTAAATGGAAGAATTCTACTTTATATAGCAACAGTTTCACGAAAGAAAACATTCTTTTGTCCCTCTAGTTTCAATTTCATCTTTGTACACGGCTACTTTACTTGCAGCTTTGTATTAAAAGACATCTATAATTAATCACATACAGGCTTGAGGAAAGAATGTTACAAAAACTATTATATATTTGTGTAATAAATGCTAATTCTATTATTGAGGTACATCCTTTCATCATTACTACAGTTAAACAAGTTTGCATTGTATTTATCCTATGTATAATGTTCGCTGCTGATTCAATATTTGGTTATAATGTTATACAGATTACAGTAATATCGAATCACCAGCCAACATTATACATAATGTTGGCATTCTTTAGCTTAAAAACAGTTTCAGTTTGGTTTGATGGAAGAAGATAATGCAATATGTGTGGTAGGGAGATGTGCCTCCCGAGAGGATTTTCTAAAGGAAAATAGTCCAACTAAGTGTTAGACATGCAAAGAAAACCCTGAAAACTGTCCAGCAAGCCTAATAGGTAAGGCACAAATCCACAACCAACTGCCACATTTGGTGGTTTTATCTGTTGTGCCTCAAAACAAATATTCCTTGCGTACTCTTTCCTTCCATTTATATATACAATTTTTGGATTTACATCAATATTTTAGTATTATGTAACATTTATTTTGCTTAATATGTCTGAAATCACTAAAATTTTTTGGGTTAGAATGGTATTAATTAAGCAGTTTTGTGACCAGTAATTTGAATTACGAATAGACGTGCATGTTTAGAGATCTCTGTAATTAGGAAATTAATTTTATAAAAGGTTGCCATCTGATGCAGATTCATATCTGCATGCTCATCTAATTTAGATATCCATCACCAATTAACTTATGTCATCCGAACTCAACATAACTAACTTAATTTTGGAACAATTACCTGTTACCAACAATTACAAATTGCTTAAATACTTAAAGGTTACTGAACTTGATGTCCCTTAAATCAGATTCAACTACTAATTCACTAACGATTTGCCAAAAATGCCAACAATTTCCAATATTTAATTAAAATGCAGTCATTAAGTCATATCTTCTTTCTGTCAGAGACAACTGAACTTACTTTTAATCCTTCCTCCATTCGTTTTCTTTCGGCAACAGCCTGGTTAAGTCTGGATTGCAGATCCTGATTCAAAGACTCCAAATTGATCAGTCTCTTTTCGGCGCTTGCCAGATCCTTTTCTTTTTTACCCAATCTATAAAAAACAATCGTAAACAATACTTATTGGATGCGATCAAATAAATAAATATATACTTGCTTACTGGAGACTAAAATCAATAATATAAAAAACCATTCAAAAGTTTAGCATAATAACATAAGAACGTTTTCAAACACATTAACCATCCATTGTCAGTTATTTCTCTAAAATCAAATGCAGAATTCGAAAGATTACGCAAGCAAATTTCAAATAAATGGTTATACAAATATTAAAAAGTGATACGTTATTAATAAAAGCGCTACACATAAAAAAATTTCGATATGCTTAAAATAATAAATAAATAAATTATTTATCAAGAGTCACCTTAAGCTTAATTAAGCCTTTATATAGAACTAAGCCACATCCTCACAGAAAGATTTCCAAGCGGACAAAAGCCCGTTGGCATCCCTATAGTAAATGCACTGCGTGCTCTTCTGTGCCCTGTGGATTTCCAATTTTTCCAGATACTTTACTGCGTGTTTTGATCTAGTGGCTTTTATGATAGAGGCCTGGTCTCAGAAGTGTGATGTCTTGTTGTTTGGCATAAGTGGCCAGGACTATACTGTCAACGGTTTTGTTCACCGATAGCTTATGCTCATTGATTATTTTCTTCAAATTTGATGATTGGGAAAAAATCTGAATACCATGTAAGTTCAACTTGTGTAATGGATTTGTTTACATTACTTGTCAGGAATCGAACTGTTCTCTAGATTTATTACTTTTTCTATCCGTTCTTGTGACACTTTTTCATCATAAATTTGACAACAGCTGTCAAACTCAGTGAATTAATTGCCACAGGTGACTAAGGTCAGAGTATCTATGGTGCAACCTGAGTGATAATTGTTCAATTGGTGGGTCATCTGATCTATTTCTTATCTCTTCAATCAGACAGAATAGGAAAGGGAGGGGTTTTGTTCGGTTTAGTCTACCCTTGTCCGTGACTTTTTTGTTACCCTCTATCGTGTAACAAGTTGAGGTTCTTGTTAATTGGCTACATCAAAATGAAGGTGGAAATGGATAATCCTCTGTTGTGAGGGGAGAACTTTATCTGTCATCCTGAACTCCTGAATGTCTTTGAAAGCCTAGAAGGTCACTTTTCAAAGTGACACAGAATATTGATGGGTCAAAAGGTCTAAATTCGACCTCCAAGAAAGGGAAAACTGGAGGAAGAAGGGAAATAATGATGAATTAAAAAAAATGTTTTAAGTTTTAAAACTCACAAAAGAGCTTAAATCCTCACAGTATCTTTGACACAATGCTGGCTCACCACTTTGAAACTGCATACATGCCTGTCACAATCTCAAAGGTCAAGAGTTGCCATTTTAAAATTATTTAAATTTAACTTTATTAAATTAAATGTAGAAAACCTTCAAGTAGAACAAACACTATCAGTATCTTAATATACAAGATCCTTATACACCTGCGTAACTGGTGAATGCAGAGAGCTACAGATGTGAATGTGTGCAGTAAAACAACTGTGTTCTATAAGACAAGACTGCTCACAGTGCCCCTAGCTGTAAAATTCAAAACTTAGTACTATTATCTAAAAAAACATTGCAGGATGTGGAAAAAAAGTCTATTACAAAGTCATAGAGCACAACCGATTTAATGCAGGACACACTGCATAAGCGAACATCAAGCACAAAATGCCAAAGTGCACTTCGAACATGTTCATTTGTGGAACATTCGTTTCTCGTATATTTATTTACAACATGCGCATGATTCATTTTCCAATGTTTCTTGTTGCATTCATTACCTTGCATGTCAGTGCATAACAACTTTACTACATACTTGTACACTTAAAGATTTCCTAACATTATATGGAAGACACCACTTACTGTAACCATAAATAATCATCATTTAATGTTTCAAAATAAAAGACCCCCAAAAGATTTAAGTTAAAATACACTTTACCTATTTTAATTCGGATATAATTATCTTCATCTTTGATTAAAGTAGACATATTTAAGCAACAGATAACTCACAATTGTCGCCATTATTAACAAATGCTTTAAACACTGAACTTTAATTCTTTTGATCATTATGCACAAACAGTAAGGTTTAAATAGCCCGCATTTCTTACTTAACTTACACACTAGCTACTGTTAAATGCAGTAACAGGCAAACAATACCAAATGAATTATACATTAATTAATAATAGTAATAATTATAAATCTTCATGTTGTTAAAAAAAAAAAACAACTTATATTTTCAGATGACATTAAACTATTTTTCTAATTTAAGCTACGAACGAAGCAAAATCTCGTTTCATCATTTGTTTATCAAAAAGCGTGGCACAACACCAGCTCCAGTTAATTTGACTCATAACCAGTACTAAATACTTTTATCATTCGAAACTAAAATTACAACAAAATGTTATGATTTATTTAAATTAAAAAAGATATAATAAAATTCTACCTAGNCTATGAAAAATTTTTTATTTTATATATTGAATTAAGTTTACTTATCTAACCACATAAAAGGGTAAATATGTAAATTCTAAAAATAATTTCAGAATGTAATCAAGTAATATACACTTTATATCCAACTTCTCACAACAATCTCACTGATGAGGCTTTGCGCAAAAAATGAAGGTTTAGTATTCGTTACTTTGTTTGTCTGCCTAATAAATTTCACAAAGTCAGATATAAAGTGTATATTACTCATTAACATTCTGAAATTATTTTTAGAATTTACATATTTAAGGAATTTTTTTTTATCAATCCATTTGCTTTTAATTTGACTTTATATTTACACCTAAAAGGGGTTTTTTGGACTAATAAACAAATTGTTACAACCTTCTAATCAGACTTTTTTTGAAGCTCAAGAATTACAAACAATTTTAATTTCCAGATGTTTTACTTATATGCATTTCAGACGCAATGTTTCCGTCAATTCCTCCTCAATAATATTCATTTAAAATATTTTATTTTAATATTTAAATTTGTAATTTTGCTATTATGTAGTTGTGTAGAGTTATTTCACTTGGGTTCATTGTCAGGTTTTTGCTATGAGAAATGTGGCCCGTGAGCATGATAAGTTTGGGAAACATCGTTCTAGAACAAACATACTGGTAATAACAGTGTGATTTCTTCAACAATCATTTTTAAATAAAGGCTATGAAAAACCAATTCAACAATACAAAAATATATGGTCAATGATGGAGAATATCACACTTCATTTTTTTATTGACAGCTATGCAACAAACACAAAAATAAAACATTTTGCTGAGATATAACTAACTGCTGCCAACACCAAGAGTCTAGAAAACATTCTCAAAGCACTACAGGTCACATTTGTGTTTGAGGACTTACCATGAACCCAGTATACTTTACATTTGATTTACAAAACAGTTTTTGTTCATTCAATATACACAAATGAAATTTCTAATTCAGTCTTTTAATTAACAGAAAGCTTAATGACACTGCCATTTTTTCTATTATTTATTATATATATTAAACAAGAATAAATATTTCTTTCTTAATAATAGGACTTATTATACCAGTTAAGTTTCTGATTAGCAAAGAGAGATCTAAGTCAAAAGTCAAAACAAAATATTTTGTTTTGACTTAGATCTCTCTTTGCTAATCAGAAACTTAACTGGTATAATAAGTCTTACTAATAAACAATGTCCAAGTAGACAATATATATACCAAAATGTAAACAGTGAGGACATAGAGGTAAAAGAATTTCTTTCTTAAATTCACCTTATTACTTCTTTGGGTCTCAGCTATATTTAGGAATGTAGGAAAAGTTTCAATTTGTAAATAACAAAATTGTTTGGCTGTATCATTGCTTACAAAATATCTACATTACTTAAATTAATACAAAATATTAAAGTGTAAAGTAATATACATGCTATTCTGTTAAAATTGTATTCATCAAAAAGAAAATATGGAGTCCAGTAAAAAAGTAATGCACATCCAGGAAACACTTAGACATGATTGACATAATAATTCCCATTCTTTTTTGTGTAATTGTAATTAAAGACAAGTGTAGCTGTTTATTTGTTTATTGATATTATTCCAGACAAGCAAGTGATCAGAACAAACAATGCAGACAGTTTGTGTACTGCGACATGTGATGATTGGCAATTGTTCATCAAAATCTAAACGTTATGTGGAAAAAACACAGACAGAGATTCAAGCAGCACTTGTCAAAGTTTGTGCTAGTTTCACCATACAGTGACATCCAGCATCCGAATGGGCATCTCATTATTGTTTTACAAGTATTTCTGGATGTAACTAAGAACATCCAGAAACTCAACGAAGTAGGAGAGCCGAAGCGAATATAGAACCTCCCAAAATGGCATCAAACGACTTACTAGCAAGCGTATACAAATATAAACATTGAATCAAGGTTGCTTGTTGTTCTCTATTATATGTGTTTGGTTAGCACAATGTTGCTGTTGAGAACGTATCATACAGGAACACTTTAAGAGGAAAAAGGTTGCTTTATTGACTTGGACGGATATGCATTTCGGGCTTAATGCCCCTCTTCAGTCCTATTATTATTACATAATTATCAAATTGGTTACAGGTATCAAAATTTACAGAATTCATTTAAAAAATTAGTATACGCGTACAGTGATTTATATGATAAAATACAATTACCTGAGATAGTGACCATTAAGCTGGTATTACACATAAGATATATATACACATATTTAAACACGGGAGGAGGAATGAGCAAATAGTGCTATCAGATCAATATACATGCACCTGAGGATAGTATAATGTGTGTTAAAATAAAAAGTGGTATGCACAAAACTAAAAAAGTATATATTAAAAAGGTGTAAATTATGAAAAATTAACGAAATACCTGTAGGATGTGACATAATACAGAAGAGATGTGTAGAGAACAGGTCTGATGGGAGATGTTACAAAGAAGTGAGGGATCCTTGTAACATATACAGAGGTTGGTGGGAATTGCACAGTGGGGGTTAAGGTGGGAGGATGGTAGGACAACTTAATGGGCTTTGCATCTTAGGAAAGGCTGCCAGATGTCATTTATGACAGTACCAGTATTTAAGTTCATTCTGTGTGTTTCTTTAGTTTTAATAATTTCGATATGTTCGTAGAATTTCCTTTTAAAAATGTTTTTTTCCCTTTTAAGTATTTTGATGCTGTCGGGTGAGATCTCGCAGCCAGTTTGGTTGCAATGAGTAGCAACTGCAGAGTTGATGTAATTATATTTTATGGCTCTAATATGTTCATTTATCCGGGTTTTTAGTACTCTACTGGTTTCACCTATGTAATAGAATTTAGGATGACAAGTACAGGCAAAGCTGTAGACTAGATTGTTATTAAGTAAAATGTCTGTGTTACTATTACTTTGTTCATTGATTTTTAAGGAATTTTTGATTTTATTGTTTAGTGTGGGAGCTAAAATAATGTTATATGGTGTTAAGATCTTTTGGATGTTTTCAAAAATAGTAGGGATATAAACTAACTTTTTGTAAGTTACCTGTGTTTTTGGTTTGGGTTGACGAGAAGGGGGGTTGTGTAGCCATTGGTAGATGATTCTGTTGGGGTAGTTATTTAATTGAAAAATGCGGTAAATTTGGTCAATTTCGGTGTTTTGGTTAGTAATATTACTAGTACGAGTTTTGATTTTGTTGATATACATCATGAATATGTTCTTTTTAATGTACATGGGTGTGCTGGAGTGGAAATTTATTACTTTATTGACGTTACATGGTTTTATATATTTTTTAAAAGTAATGTGCTTGTTATGTCTGTGTATGGTGATGTCTAAAAAATTGAGATTGTTGTTGTTTTCATTTTCAAATTCGAAAAGGATGTTTTTTTGGATATTGTTGGCCTGATGAAGTATGATATGAGGGTTGGTTAATTGTTTGTTATAAATAACAAAGCAATCGTCGACATAACGGTTGTAGAATATTACACCTTGTAGTTTATGGATGATATTGTCTATGTTGATCATGCAAAGTTCAGCAAGTTTGGGGCCGATGCAAGAGCCCATAAAGATGCCATCAGTTTGTCTAAAGAAACTATTATTACAAATAAAGTAATTGTTGTCTAAAACAAATTCAACGAGTTGGGTTATCCATTTATCACAGTTTAGGCTATTTAAAGTATTTATTATAAACTTTTTTTGGATTGAGGGGTACATGTTTTTGATATCCAGGCTTAACATTCTCATATTTTTATTTAACTTTAGGTTTTGGAGGTTTTTAATGAACTGGTCAGTGTAATAATAATAGGACTGAAGAGGGGCATTAAGCCCGAAATGCATATCCATCCAAGTCAATAAAGCAACCTTTTTCCTCTTAAAGTGTTCCTGTATGATACGTTCTCAACAGAAACATTGTGCTAACCAAACAAATATAAACATTGTTTAACCAAATCTTTAAGATTAACATCAAACAATTACCAAATTACACTGGGCTATATCGACTGAATTGTTTGGCGTTAATCTTCAGGATACTACATCGAAGGGCTGTAGAGTTTAGAAAGCTCATCTACAGTGTTCTAATATAACAAAATACAGCACAATACTTTTCAACTCTTCTCTGTAATCAATGCAAAGAAAATAAACACCGTATTAATAAATATTTTTATCAAAAGAAAAATACCTTTTCATGTACGGATTCTTTAAAATTGAGTTCTTCTTTAAGACTCTGCACTCTATTTTCTAAGTCAACTCGCATCAAGGTTTCTTCTTCCAACTGTGTCTTGGCTGCTGCCAACTGTTTATTCAATTTGTCTCTGTCAGCTTCTGCCTCCTACAAAAGAAAAATTTCACTAAATCATTATTATTTCTTTTTTAACATTTATACAACATATTATATAAACAGAAAAAGAAACTGTAGATTTTAACACAATACAGAATGTAAAATCTTAAACAAATAACATTACGTGAAGGTTTAAAGTGATTTTGACTAAAGGCGGGCGTAGTCAAATGCAGCAATTGATATTATTAGAATCTGAAATCCAGTCATTCACTGAGAACTCAAGCTAGGTATCTGAATACTTCTCAGATGCTAACTTGCACAATCGAGTGCCAAAAATTAGTGCCTAGCTCCACTGTCCAAAATTCTAATCGCATTATGTTAATACAGACAAACTTAATGTGTTACTTTCTCATACCTAAAGCCTCTTTCATTTCTGCATCGAAGAGGTTTCTGGTTTCCAGTAAAATTTAACATAGAAAATTGCCGCATTCCAAAATTGTTTATCTGTTTAGGCAAGTTTCCATTTTAGACAGGTTTTACTGTATTATGCTAAATATATTAATGAACCTGATAATATTTTGATAATAATGATGATAACAAATCTATAGTAGATAAATAAATTTGCTATCTTTTGTTAATATTGGTGATTACAAAAAACTGCTAATTTAGTAACTATAGATATAGAAATGACTCAGAACAAAATTGCTCTCTCCTTCCATACAAACTATTCATCCATTAATTTCACTGATTATGAATGTTTATTTACGACACACTTGTTAAGAAAGTTTCACAAAATAAATCCAATTTAAACTGCTTAAATTGAGGTAAAATCATAGATAATCGTAGAGCTTTATACATTTCTCTTTAGCTGAATTTAAATTCTTGCACTTACTAGTGTTTCAAATGTAAAAAATTGATGTTAACTTGACATATCCACACTATTTACAGTAGGTTGTGTGACTATAACATCAAACTTGCATGATTTCACTGCATGTTAGATGCTACGCCAAAGAACATAAATACAATTTTTCTAGATTCTTTAGTGGTGAGCTTAGGGTGCAAAGTGTTTAATTTTCTAATGTTTCACTTTGAGAAAAGTAGCTCAAGCTGGCATACACAGTATAATATAATGCGATAGAAATGCCATTAGCTGAAATATGACCAACCAGATGTCCGATCGACCAGAGTATCGGTATTCAAGATCATTAAACAAAAGAAATTTGTAGATAAAAATAGTCGCACAAGTTACGAAGCATAGAATTTTGTACATTCTTTCTCCATATGCAATTAAACATGTAAAATTTGGGGAGAGGCAGTTGAAAAACTTAAGCAAAATCCACTATCCAGTCGCAGACAAGGATTTCAGTTTACTTAAATGGAAGAATTCTACTTTATATAGCAACAGTTTCACGAAAGAAAACATTCTTTTGTCCCTCTAGTTTCAATTTCATCTTTGTATACGGCTACTTTACTTGCAGCTTTGTATTAAAAGACATCTATAATTAATCACATACAGGCTTGAGGAAAGAATGTTACAAAAACTATTATATATTTGTGTAATAAATGCTAATTCTATTATTGAGGTACATCCTTTCATCATTACTACAGTTAAACAAGTTTGCATTGTATTTATCCTATGTATAAGGTTCGCTGCTGATTCAATATTTGGTTATAATGTTATACAGATTACAGTAATATCGAATCACCAGCCAACATTATACATAATGTTGGCATTCTTTAGCTTAAAAACAGTTTCAGTTTGGTTTGATGGAAGAAGATAATGCAATATGTGTGGTAGGGAGATGTGCCTCCCGAGAGGATTTTCTAAAGGAAAATAGTCCAACTAAGTGTTAGACATGCAAAGAAAACCCTGAAAACTGTCCAGCAAGCCTAATAGGTAAGGCACAAATCCACAACCAACTGCCACATTTGGTGGTTTTATCTGTTGTGCCTCAAAACAAATATTCCTTGCGTACTCTTTCCTTCCATTTATATATACAATTTTTCGATTTACATCAATATTTTAGTATTATGTAACATTTATTTTGCTTAATATGTCTGAAATCACTAAAATTTTTTGGGTTAGAATGGTATTAATTAAGCAGTTTTGTGACCAGTAATTTGAATTACGAATAGACGTGCATGTTTAGAGATCTCTGTAATTAGGAAATTAATTTTATAAAAGGTTGCCATCTGATGCAGATTCATATCTGCATGCTCATCTAATTTAGATATCCATCACCAATTAACTTATGTCATCCGAACTCAACATAACTAACTTAATTTTGGAACAATTACCTGTTACCAACAATTACAAATTGCTTAAATACTTAAAGGTTACTGAACTTGATGTCCCTTAAATCAGATTCAACTACTAATTCACTAACGATTTGCCAAAAATGCCAACAATTTCCAATATTTAATTAAAATGCAGTCATTAAGTCATATCTTCTTTCTGTCAGAGACAACTGAACTTACTTTTAATCCTTCCTCCATTCGTTTTCTTTCGGCAACAGCCTGGTTAAGTCTGGATTGCAGATCCTGATTCAAAGACTCCAAATTGATCAGTCTCTTTTCGGCGCTTGCCAGATCCTTTTCTTTTTTACCCAATCTATAAAAAACAATCGTAAACAATACTTATTGGATGCGATCAAATAAATAAATATATACTTGCTTACTGGAGACTAAAATCAATAATATAAAAAACCATTCAAAAGTTTAGCATAATAACATAAGAACGTTTTCAAACACATTAACCATCCATTGTCAGTTATTTCTCTAAAATCAAATGCAGAATTCGAAAGATTACGCAAGCAAATTTCAAATAAGTGGTTATACAAATATTAAAAAGTGATACGTTATTAATAAAAGCGCTACACATAAAAAAATTTCGATATGCTTAAAATAATAAATAAATAAATTATTTATCAAGAGTCACCTTAAGCTTAATTAAGCCTTTATATAGAACTAAGCCACATCCTCACAGAAAGATTTCCAAGCGGACAAAAGCCCGTTGGCATCCCTATAGTAAATGCACTGCGTGCTCTTCTGTGCCCTGTGGATTTCCAATTTTTCCAGATACTTTACTGCGTGTTTTGATCTATTGGCTTTTATGATAGAGGCCTGGTCTCAGAAGTGTGATGTCTTGTTGTTTGGCATAAGTGGCCAGGACTATACTGTCAACGGTTTTGTTCACCGATAGCTTATGCTCATTGATTATTTTCTTCAAATTTGATGATTGGGAAAAAATCTGAATACCATGTAAGTTCAACTTGTGTAATGGATTTGTTTACATTACTTGTCAGGAATCGAACTGTTCTCTAGATTTATTACTTTTTCTATCCGTTCTTGTGACACTTTTTCATCATAAATTTGACAACAGCTGTCAAACTCAGTGAATTAATTGCCACAGGTGACTAAGGTCAGAGTATCTATGGTGCAACCTGAGTGATAATTGTTCAATTGGTGGGTCATCTGATCTATTTCTTATCTCTTCAATCAGACAGAATAGGAAAGGGAGGGGTTTTGTTCGGTTTAGTCTACCCTTGTCCGTGACTTTTTTGTTACCCTCTATCGTGTAACAAGTTGAGGTTCTTGTTAATTGGCTACATCAAAATGAAGGTGGAAATGGATAATCCTCTGTTGTGAGGGGAGAACTTTATCTGTCATCCTGAACTCCTGAATGTCTTTGAAAGCCTAGAAGGTCACTTTTCAAAGTGACACAGAATATTGATGGGTCAAAAGGTCTAAATTCGACCTCCAAGAAAGGGAAAACTGGAGGAAGAAGGGAAATAATGATGAATTAAAAAAAATGTTTTAAGTTTTAAAACTCACAAAAGAGCTTAAATCCTCACAGTATCTTTGACACAATGCTGGCTCACCACTTTGAAACTGCATACATGCCTGTCACAATCTCAAAGGTCAAGAGTTGCCATTTTAAAATTATTTAAATTTAACTTTATTAAATTAAATGTAGAAAACCTTCAAGTAGAACAAACACTATCAGTATCTTAATATACAAGATCCTTATACACCTGCGTAACTGGTGAATGCAGAGAGCTACAGATGTGAATGTGTGCAGTAAAACAACTGTGTTCTATAAGACAAGACTGCTCACAGTGCCCCTAGCTGTAAAATTCAAAACTTAGTACTATTATCTAAAAAAACATTGCAGGATGTGGAAAAAAAGTCTATTACAAAGTCATAGAGCACAACCGATTTAATGCAGGACACACTGCATAAGCGAACATCAAGCACAAAATGCCAAAGTGCACTTCGAACATGTTCATTTGTGGAACATTCGTTTCTCGTATATTTATTTACAACATGCGCATGATTCATTTTCCAATGTTTCTTGTTGCATTCATTACCTTGCATGTCAGTGCATAACAACTTTACTACATACTTGTACACTTAAAGATTTCCTAACATTATATGGAAGACACCACTTACTGTAACCATAAATAATCATCATTTAATGTTTCAAAATAAAAGACCCCCAAAAGATTTAAGTTAAAATACACTTTACCTATTTTAATTCGGATATAATTATCTTCATCTTTGATTAAAGTAGACATATTTAAGCAACAGATAACTCACAATTGTCGCCATTATTAACAAATGCTTTAAACACTGAACTTTAATTCTTTTGATCATTATGCACAAACAGTAAGGTTTAAATAGCCTGCATTTCTTACTTAACTTACACACTAGCTACTGTTAAATGCAGTAACAGGCAAACAATACCAAATGAATTATACATTAATTAATAATAGTAATAATTATAAATCTTCATGTTGTAAAAAAAAAAACAACTTATATTTTCAGATGACATTAAACTATTTTTCTAATTTAAGCTACGAACGAAGCAAAATCTCGTTTCATCATTTGTTTATCAAAAAGCGTGGCACAACGCCAGCTCCAGTTAATTTGACTCATAACCAGTACTAAATACTTTTATCATTCGAAACTAAAATTACAACAAAATGTTATGATTTATTTAAATTAAAAAAGATATAATAAAATTCTACCTAGCATAAGAAAGCTGAGCAGTCTTAGGTTAATGCACTCTCAGTTAACACAGTTTAATGCACATCGTTAATTAATTAGGTATCATTTTCACATTACACACTACTGTTTTGGTACAATGTGGTTCCAAATACAATCATTATGAGGCTGCTTAAGGTACCACATACATTAACTAATGGTTATCTGTACTTTAGATGATGTTTCATTAATAAATTCTTTTGAAGTAAAATTTATTAAAATTACTGCATCATATCTGTAATATCCTTTCACTTCATTACAATTATTATTCAAATATGCAAATAAAATCTTGGCCACACTTTCGAGGATAATTATCAGAAACATGCCGACAAGTCTTTATTTATGGAGTAAAGTTTCAGAAAGTTAATGAGCTCGGAGTTATTTGAAATGTGAATAAATGAAAAAGCAACTCGATGCAATAAATTCCAATTGAATGAGCATTTTCCAACGACCATCTTCAAATTCTAGAATTTCTACCTAAATGCATTCTTATTACTATAAAATTTTAGCTTGTACCGATTAATCTTTTACTATTAAAATTATTTTTGACTCTCTGCCTTGCGGGCACTAAAAGGGCTTTGTAATCAAGCAAAACCAGGTCCGCATTGGGACAGCCGGGTAGCGAGAAACAACGGAAAGCCTCGAATAATTCTAAGGGTCTTCCACCCGTCCGGATTCTTTTCTGGGTCCCTAGAACAATAAGTCGATGCCTCGACCGTACAGGCATTACTATTACAAATATAAACAAATTATACATAAAATTTTTTCTAGTAGTCTTCTACCATTAAAATAAATTGTTATTTTAAAACTCAATCCTTCAACTATTTTAAGAAAATCACTGTTAATTATATTGAAAATAGAGAATTATTATTGTTTAATTTCACCTGAAAGACGGTATTACCGCATATTAACAATGTACACAAAGTCATTCTCGTTTCCTAAAGACCCCCATTGCAGCTGCTACATAATTTGTTTATACTAAATCTTTATAATTCCTTTGTATTAATATACAGAGACTATCCCATTGATAACTTCCAACGGCATGAAAGAATATCGGTTATAGAGCAGCCTTAGTAAAAACCAGAATACTAATTAGTATGATGTACAGTAAGTAAATTTAGAGATTTTAGAGCTATAAAATCGGCAAACATACCAAATGCAATTCTATGTAACAGGGAGAGCACATTTTAAACTATGAAATCTCATTTCTTAAAGAAGCTGGTCAAATAAATCAATATACAACTGTATTTTTCATACAGAAAAGCAGAACTATAACTATGTAAGTTTAAGCTTCATCACTCTTTATGTATAGGAGGAAGTAAAGTGTGATAAAGGACAGGAAATTTTTGTATCCAATGATTTACAATTCATATACTGGACTCCAAATATTAATTTTAAACAGTTTAAACACAGTACTACCTTCCAGAACCTATAAAATTCTATTCTACAAAGGAAAATATGTTTAAATTGAACATTTTTACAAAAAAACTGACTTTTTTTAAACGTAAAAACTACAAGATTATGTAAAAAAAATCGAAATCCTTTAGTGAAAAACGTGGCTCTTATCAGTGCAAACAGCAAAAGGAAATGAAAAGATAAGTGAAATAAACGAGATGACCCATACAAAACGCAAACAATAGATTTATAATACGTCATTAATGTCAAATTAGCCAATAAAACTCATTAAATAATAATACAGAATGCCATTTCACTCGTATTATTCGACGAGTAATTAGTCATCACTTTCTACAAAAACACGTAAAAATATGCTAATAAAGCGAATAAAATGCGATAAATATTAAAAATTTATTAAACATTACTCCGATTTTTTACGCAAAATAATTATAAAACGTTAAATAACCGCGAAAATTAATCTGTTTACTAAAAAAAAAAAAAATCAACCAGACTGGCGGGAAAAAGTGTACTGCCGCTTCCCGCTCGGTCACGTGACGGTGCTCTACACGTGACCGGATGGAAACGGCTCGTTCGCGCCAATTCTGATGTACAATACGTGTCGTCCAATTCTAAAATATCATGAAAAAAAGCACTCGAAATTAAAGAATTACGCTCTAGAGTATGACGTCACGGGGTCAGGGCAAGCTATTCGATGCCCAAATTCGGATAATTCGACCCCATTTCCGGTAATTTGGACGTCTTTCAACGGTTTTCGGCGGGTGCTACGCCGTCTAATTCTATTATTAACAGCATAATTTAACTGGTTTAGGCGGTAACCCCCATCCCCCCGGTCACTACACGTTCAAAAAAACACGTGCCAGGGCGTTGTAGTGTTCGAAAAACACACGTTTCAAGTGTTGTGGCAGCGATATCGATTCATTTTGCTGAAAAATACCTAAAATATGCGCCTAGGAAACGTTCGACCTACTCCACTTTCGCTTTCAAATAGGTCACACTGTAAGTGCGCTTCCCCACAAGCACCCCCTTATCAAACTGCACACCACAAAATCAATAAAATAAAAATACCAGACGTGAAATACGAGCCGTATGTAGGAACAGCAGCACTTCTACACGGAAATTTGCCAGTTAAAATGCAAAATTATCAAAAATATTTAAGAGGTTAACATATCCTTGGCACAGTTATGCAAGGAGTGAATAATAAATTATGAAAGTTTCCTCACATTTGTATTTGTATATAACCTATTTTGTAGTGTTTAACCACACAAAACTGTATTTTGTAAGCCTATGTTGGGTTTAGGGGCTAGTAAATTTAAAATATTATGAATATCTAAGCTAAATTGTGTTTGGATAAGTTGTTTTGTTGCGTATCTTTCCATTAATGTGAATAAATGGTATCTAATCTGAAGAAACAAAGGGTCAAGAATGATTCAGATATACCTGTACTGCGTAAAGATAAGATGGATATCGAAAGGTAAATTGTACGTTTAATTCTGCTACAAGGAATTAAATGGTTCGGACCATATTACCGTACCAATACGTGGAAAACTTGGCACTAAATTGCGATAAATCTAATTTGAGAGGTTTAGGTGGAACGAAGAATGCTATATTTCAGAAAATTAATTCATAGAAAAACAATGCAAACGGCGATGCTAATTGTACTGTTCGGCATTTGTCTGCTCGCAACTGTATTTTTACCATTCAATTCTTCAGAAAGTAAGTTTTTAACAAGCACGCGAGACCAATTTATGTGAGTTTCACTTCAAATTTGGTAAATATTTGATTCGTCAGACAAAACTTAAAATGTTTGTGAATATCGAAACCCCATAAATTAGTTTGATTTTTTGCATCAGACCATAAATTGGCCTTAACTACAAAGATTTCAAATTGTATTTTCAAGTTTTCAACTATATTGGCACAATGAAGGCAGTCAGGTAAGGGGTCCTAGAAAAAAAGCACGATTAAATACACAAAACACAGTGAGGAATGAATTGTGAAGTCAGTAAATGTGTGTTAACTCAAAGTGGTCTACCGATCACCAGCACAGTATATAGGGTTTCCCATATAACACAGTCTTGTCATTACTTTTACTCAAACCTATTTTACCAGGATACCTTCGATAGGTCCACAATCTTTATTTTCTCTTATGGTGTGTGCAAATACAGACGATAAACACTATGGCTCTGCGCCGAACACAACCCCACACCATTACAATTTTGCATTTCGTCCTTTTTACTAATACGGCACATTATCGGCATTCCGGCAGGGATGCAGAAAACATCACAACAACGCACTCAAAAATGCCATAAAACTGTATACAATATCTGATTTCTTGAGAATTCTTGATCCCTTAAACTTTGACTTGAGGTTTTACCTTATCATCTTTCATAATAAAACATGAATTGACAAAAATAATAAAATAATAGTCATGCACAATCAATCTGCAGAATTTATAATAAATACAAAAATGCAAGCTTCTAATGTTTGTCATATTTTCAAGTGACACAAATGTTTACATTTATTGGTACGACACGATAAATTATTTTTATCGGTAAGACAGATTAAAAATAATAAAGAAACACATTTTATTAACTCTAGATCTTTTCATTTATGCATTAATGCTTTCGAAGCAATCTACTTTCCAAATGACAGAATAAAAATGGTAAAAAGGACCCTAATAAATGCAACAAAGGTACATCCTTCACTGTTATACCATCATTGGATAAAATATATAAATAAATAGGCTTTTTAAATTAGAAACTGAGTAAACAGAACCTAATATGACAGTACTTTTTTCAAATATAGGTAGGTCTAAAGTTAAACAAACACTAATTCACACAATCAGAAATTTTCTATGGTCACATTACTACTTTCCTTCCACAATCTGCAATGCAACAGCTCAGAAAGTTGCTCATTGTGTAATTCTTAAGAGAGTCAATTAACATTTCGAACCATCGTGCCAAAACAACTCATCATAAATGTACAAAAACATAACATATTGGAACCAAGAGGTGTCGACGAGTCTGCCTAATTTCCTTCGACGGCACGACAAAATCGACGAGCGCACGGTCGATATTTGCAAAAGAATTATCGAGTAAGGTGGATGCAATCACCGTGCATGCCTTATTTGACGTAAATCACGACAAATTTGTGGCGATATCGACTAGTTCACATTAAGATGGAGGACTAATGCAAAATCATCGCATCATACAGAATTAACTAATAAATAAACTTTCAAGAAAGTTGATTTTCCAGTATAAATTTTTAAAAAATAATCATAATTTCTTCTTTCAAAACTGAATTATTTAGTAATTCAATAGTGACGAGACTTCCTTTATGAACTATTTTAAAAAATGTACTTAAATATTGCGAATTAGGAAATGCACATATACATCTTCCACAGAAAAATAAGCTAGTTACATTAATGACATCGCATCGGATTCAAAATATAACAACATTACCCCTGCTCGATACTTACCGAGCAGACTAACTGATGTCTGGCAGGTAAGCTACCTCACACTTTAACGTTTTATTGTGTTGTGCCGTAGTGTTTACTTGTAGCATTTTCCAGAATTGCACATATATATACACACACATATATATTTGACCACGACAACAAAATTGCCAAATGAATTGTCATTACTCTATATAAGCATATTTAGTAATAATAACTAAGATTTATCTGGCAAATTGATTTTTTAGATTAGGTGAATGTATAGTTGTATATATAGAAATTGGAATAAATTATTTACTGATATATACTATATATACATTATTATTTTGCTTTGAATAGGTTGCTAGTCACACAAAATAACTTTATAAGAACATTATACAAGTTACCTTATAATTCTTCCATCACTTATTATTATAACCGGACCAATATTGACAAAATACAAGTTTTATATAAGAAACAAGTTCTTTTTGATAGCTTTAAATTAATAAAGGTTTGCAAGAAATAATCGTTTATGAGTAATTTGCTAAACAAATACTTTAGGCCTTCTAATTACAATTATCGACAGAAAAATATCATCCTTTAGCTGAAAGTTAAGCACAGTTTTGGCCGAAATGCACCGATTCGTATATAATCGGAATGCCTTAAAAGAAGATTATAAAGATTTGAAAACTTACGGGCAATTTAATTAAGCTGTTTAAAAAATTGAATTGCGTTTAGTTTTGAATTACGGTTTTTCTTCTTTTTTCTTTCTTTGTTGCTTGTGTTTTGTATATATACTCTCCTATATATATTTTGTATATATATTTGTTTTGACACGTGGAAAAGGCCAATGGCCATAGCATTGTTTAGATAGATCAATAAATAAATATTTACACAGATTATTTAGTGATATATATATATATATATATAGTTATCACTAAATAATTTGTGTTTTCATTTTTGTATATATATAGAGCCTGCATTCATTTGTCTATCAATAAATACATTGTTATTAATCTATAACACGCAGTTTGTCAGATATTCCCCACGATTATTATTTCCGATAAATTAGACATTTGCCAAACCGGTCTAACTTACTTTGTCGTCAGATAATAAAGGAGATAAACATCCATAAAATTTAAATAATTTTTATATTTTTACTTACGTACTCTCACATTTATCACTTTAAACTTTATTTACGACTCCGACTGCGGGATCTCGGACGTCCACCGTCGGGACATCGGGAGGCCGGATCTTCCGATCCGATTCCTCTGCCACAGAGCTCGGTCTTCGGTCGACCGCTGCCAAATGGTCTCCGAACCTACCATTCGTCGGAAGGGCGGGAGATCCGAAGATATTCGGTTTACCACCAGAAACTCGCATCCTCGACTAAATCCGGTCCACCGTCGCAAAGCTCCGTCGGCAGAAGACGGAGCTCCGCAACGAAAGGAATCGAATCGCCCGCAAACCGAGGAAGAGAGTTAGATCTCAGCGGCAAAGAGAATCGGTCGGAAGGAGGAGAGACGGATTCGCACCCAGAAATTTACTCGGATTAACCGACAAGCATCCAAATAACCTAATTCCCAAAAGACGAGCCGAGATTAGGTCAACGCGGCAATTCTGCACGTGTCACAATTCATCAAATATTACACAAAGAATGAGCCGTGTGACGTAACACACGCGCGAACAACCAGAATAAACAATGGAATATATTTAAATGATACTCACTTCAAATGCAATTCGTCGGCTTCGGTTTTGTATTTGGACGCTTCGATTTGCAGTTTAGCCTTTTCTTTAGCGGTTTCGTCCAAGAGTTTCCTGGCATCGGACAGTTCCTGCTCGTACATAGACTTGATGCTGGTCACTTCTCTTGTGACAGTCTCCTGACTGCTCTGCACTTGGTGGATCAAACGGCTGTTTTCTGCCTCCAATCGCCTGACTTTGTCGATATAAGTGGCCAGACGATCGTTAAGATTCTGCAATTCTAATTTTTCTTGTATCCGAGTCATACGCGTCGGACTTAATGGCGAATTGGTTTTTTCGATGGACGATGACATTTGAGGTGTCTGACTGGCCGACGTCTGCTGCTGCGACGTTGTTGTTGTGGTCGTGGTCGTTCTCCTTGTTGTTTTCGTCGCCATTTTCTTATCCGCAATCGATTAATAACCGCTTAATATCAATTTCGACTCACCGGTTCAACCGCACCCTACCGCTACACAAGATGGCCGACGATTTAAGCGACTGAATGAAGGCGCCGCTTGCTTCGCCGACGCTATCCCATCGCCTCGCCCCATTGGCCAGATTTAAATCATGTGGCATTTTCTGTCCAATGGCCCGACGGTTAACATCCTTTTGTCACGTGACCATGCCCCCAACTTCGTTTGAATTGTTTTTTTATTAAAAAACGTAGATGATATAAATAATTTTTATCGCGCTTAGAATACGTAAAGATGCATTATTTTATATACTACGACGCTTTCGAGATAATTTAACTGGATTTTACGTCACGCGGCACATATTAAGTCGGTGATGACGTCATCGTTATTCAAAGATTTCGCGTGACATCATTTCGATAACAGAATCGCCATGATGTCATCGCGATCTATTTCTCGAGGGTCGATTGCGTGACGTAATTAAATTTTTGCTTAAAATATTTTATTTAAATAATTTATAAAAAATGTATTTGTTATTTTACTAATTAATTATAAATCGGATGCGAAGTTTAATAGGCTTGTTGGTTAGATATTTAAATTCGAATTAAAAGACCAATCGAAATGTTGTTTACAAATAGGAAACAAAGAAGTTGGGAGGCAGTTTATATCTTTGTAAAATGCTATTTATACTTAACATCGAAATCTAAGAATAGAGGCATGCGGGGGGATTACTCCAACTGATAATTATAACATTCCTTCATCCTCTGATAGGAATATTAACAATATTTTCTTACAAATGTATTTTTCTTCATATTATTCTCATCATCCTGACACCATCATCCTCTATATATTATTTTCCAGAAGGCTCTCATCATCCTCGTTCTTCAGAAAGTTTTCTCAGCATTCATGTAAGGAGAATTCATATATTCACTCTGTAGAATGAATATACTTTTATAATTGGTATACTGTACATATTCTTCAATACACTCGGAATATTGAGAGCCTTATGGGATGCTCAGAATATTCTCAGCATCCCTGAGAGAGCATTTATATTTACTCTGTATATAATAAATTTTATTGTCCAGCAGTCTCTCGCATCTTCATCCTAGAGAAAGTCCTGTCAGCATTGAATTCTCCATATGTTGGGAGAATTTATATAATATTCATTTTGTGGAATGACTATTAATACTTTTATAATTGATGTATGTATTCTTCAAGTTGCACTCAGCGTTTTAAGGTACTGGGAAGATGCTTACAGTATTCTCTGACGCTGCAGGCTATTGTCTAACACTGACAGGCTATTGTCTAACACAGGCTATTCTCTGACGCTGGCAGGCTATTGTCTAACACAGACAGGCTTTTCTCTGACGCTGGCAGGCTATTGTCTAACACTGACAGGCTATTGTCTAACACAGGCTATTCTCTGACGCTGGCAGGCTATTGTCTAACACAGACAGGCTTTTCTCTGACGCTGGCAGGCTATTGTCTAACACTGACAGGCTATTCTCTGACGCTGCAGGCTATTCTCTGATGCTGCAGGCTATTGTCTAACACTGATAAGTATTATCATATTTTTTACAGAATATTAATAGAATGAATTCTCTCGTTAATATATTTATTTCTGGTATGTTCTTAACATTAAAAATATTTGTATAATAGATTGTACTTAGCTAAAGAGATCTTGAGCATCTTCAGGAATGCTGAAAGATGCTGGAGAACTTTTGTCATAATATCATCTACACAATACAATAAATACTGTACTCGTAAATGAGGAAAATAAACGTTTTATTTTAGGTTTTAACACAGTTTAGCAAGTAATTTTACTGTAATCTTTGTAATGTGAGGCCAAACATCGTTTCTCTGGAGGGTGTCGGTCTCAAACAGGTATGTCTTGACACTGAGGCCCTCTCGAAATTCTTATGTTTATCTTTCCCATCTAATATAAATAGGAATAATATTTTTAAATAGTTTATAAAATAAATACGAGAATTTATTTATTTATCTTTGATAATTTTTAATTTAAATTAAATTTTTTATGTATATAGTATATAATTAATAAAAATTACTGGTATATAAAATATATAAGTTACAATCTTATATTTATGTAAAAAGTTATTTTTATTTCTTATTTTATTTCTTTTAATTGAAATTGTATCGATACGTGTACGGGTATTTAATTTTTAAATATTTAACGATTATCGAAAGCAGTTTTATTTTCCGACAACAGATGGTGCAACATTACACGAATTTGCTTTACGACCTCTCATTTCATAATATTTTGCGCTTATTAATTTTCTATTATAACTTTATAAAATGCTGTATTCAACCACTAAATATTTTTTTGGATATTTCTGTGTGGCACTGCATAAGAAAAACTATTATCTTCAAGAAGCAATCTGAATTTATATCATCGAGTTTATGCAATATAAGACGACTCGCTTTACGACGAACCTCTAAGAACCAATTTAATGTTGTAAAATGGGATACTATGATGTATAAACAAGTAAATTTCTGTTTAATTAATAATTTATGTTGGTTTCTACATATTTTTCTTGTTTCGAAGCTTCTTTTACCGTTTAGAATACCATAGGATCTTCATTGAATCATTGATAATTCATTTCAAATACGAACCAGTATAATTGAAACATGGCGATGACCACGTGTAAACTAATCTCCATGCCATCTATCGTAATTGATATTCGTGACAATGGTTCGTTATTGTTATTGTTATCGATTGTAATAAATGCTATGGGGATACCAGCATCGTGGCTTCATCTACGGGTATTGTAGGTGAAGCCATGATGCTAGGAAGGTTTTTGCACGCTCGTATTTAAATAAGATTTTTTAAAAATGGAAGGTAAAGATGAAAACGTAGAGCGGATGCTCATTGCGAAAAGCAAATTGCTCTATTTTCCATTAAGCTCTTTGCTTTTCTAACCTTCTGCTGGGGCTCTATTCAATGTAAATTTGTAAAGCGGGTTGCTCATTGCCGAAATTTACGTGGAATAGAGCATTAAGATAACGTTAGGAATTACCTGCTTGCAACTATTTTAAGTGAAATAAATCTTAATTTTGAAGACAATAATTATTCTAATGAATAATAAACAAAATATTGGTGCAAAATAGGGCCATTAACGAAGATGGAGAGTTAAACATGGAATGTTTCGAAAACTCTACTGTGGAAAATACTAAATGCAACCAAATTTGGTGCGCATAAGTTACTTTTCGATCATGTATTTTGATTTTGCAAATAAGTTCATTTCCAAAATTCCCTGAAAAGGAAAGATTCGCTGCAATTTGCATATTATATAGAAAGTCGTAAAAGAAATTCAGGCAATATGCAGATGTTGAGACACAAAATGTAATGATCTTATTGCAATTTTGTATGGAAATTATCAGTGGTGTGCGGTGACATTTGTCGATAGGGAAGCTGTGCCGGTTCCTGATAGAACCATGGAAGCGTAATACGATATTTTGATGTGTAGCATCTACCAGCTAAACCTGGGTTGGCGCTGTGTAAAGCGTAGGATGCGCATAATATGGCTGCTTTACACCGTTCGTATATTTTCGCCGTAAAATCTGTCCCTTATTCCAAAATACGGCGCTTCCATTGATAATATGTATACGCGAATTTATATTCGAATATACAATAACAATCTTATCATTGTTTTTTACATGTATAGAAATTTGTAATAAAATACATAATGCGGTTATAATAATATATTAATTTTAAGAAATTCAAAGTACGTTAAAAAATGAACATAATCTCACAATATGTATTTATATTTTAGAAAATACAAGGAAAGCGGTGCTTCCACAGCTTTTCATCGATAGCACGCTACTGGAAATTACACATTCCGCTAATTGTAACACTCCGTAGATTACAATTACAAACTAAATTGTACACATTGAAATGACCAATCAGGCCGGCACAATCGGGCCTGCAAGGTGTGCACCATACGCAGGCGGAACTAAGCCTACTGGGTACAGTCCGAGTGTAAAATTAACACTAGCGTAATTTTACATGATGAAAACAAAACTACCTAAATACAGTAGAGCGTCGTTTATCTGAAAGTCGGTTATCCGAAATGTCGTTTATCCGAAAGTATTCCAGTCGGCAAATTTAAATTTTCGCTAGTGCTGTGGCGCTGCAATCTGTGGCTATATCTTGGGCTAATCCAATATTTTTTTGTTGATATATGTTTTTTAGCTGGCAGCACTGGCACTTTTGTGTGGTGTTTTTCTGAGGGCTATGTGTCATGCTGAATCGAACGTTTTTGATACTAGATTTAACTTCTAAAGTATAATTTTTTTTGTTTTTATATTTTTCAATGTATTTATTTTGTTTGTACAAAATAAGGAAATAATTTTTAACGATACAGTAGCCACAATTATTATTTTAAAAAGTTTACGTTAGGCTTAACATCGATGAAAATTCATCGCAAAGCGACACGCAACGGAGAAAAATTTCAACACGGGATAGGTTAATATATTTTTTCGTATATAATCGGTTATCCGAAAAATAAGTTATCCGAACAACCCCAGTCCCCAATTGATTCGGATAAACGACGCTCTACTGTATAATGAATGTGTGTGATATTGATTAAGCTGAGGAGGCTTAGCACCCCAAAACCCCAAAAGATACTGGTCAGAGGTGTTCCATCTTGCATAAAAATTGTGATAGTCGAGTAATTTCGTTGCTAAAGTGCATGGACAGTAGGAAACATTGTTCGTAAATGCTTCATACTGTTCAATGATGAAGGATACCGTGAACCCTAACCACACTGTGATTTTTGATTAATGCAAGAAAATTTGTTGATAAACGTGTGATTTCCTTCAGATCGAACACGGCATTTGTATTCGCCATACCATTCAACTAAAAATAAATTTTATCGGGCCATAGAATTAGCCAGGACCACGAATCACCAATCATCATTCGAGAATTCATCATCATACGAATAAAGTGCCAAATGATTTTTCCTTTGAGCATGAACACCAAGAAATAATTCGTGACATGATATGCTGGAGGGGTAAAACTGCAAATTTTTTTCACTTTAGGGTAGGACACATTCAATTTCTACGATAATTCACGCGCACTACATCTACCCTGCAAATTCGCCATTTACTGCTC